TCACTGGTTCCTGCAGATGTCCATGCATCTAAGCCAGGGGGCAGGGAGGGAAATAGTGCCTGCCAGCTCTTTTGTTTTTGGAGAAGTCTCCTAAAGATCCCTGCCTCTCCAGCACACACCCTGAGATTACTAAACATATTTGTATATTTACTGCCTTCCTGTATACCCCAGGTGTTTTTTAAAGCTGCTGGTTCTATGCTATATCTCAGCAGGGTTGTTTGTTATATGTCTCTTTAAGGGGTTGGGGAGGCCTCAGTTTCTTATCACCCTCTGGCTCTCCTAGAGCTGAGCCTGCTATTTTTTAAAGTTCTAAGTGTTAAGCCCCAATGATTGTAAGAACTCATGGAGCTAAGTCCCTCTGGTTTTCAAAGTCAAATGTTATTGGGGTTTGTCTTCCCAATGCAGGTCCCCTGTGCCTGGGGAGCCCGTGTGGGGTCTGCTCCTCTCCCTTTTCTGTGTTTGCAGTGTCCTTCCCTCCCATGGACAGTGTCCCAGATCAATTTGGTTCCTGACCATATCTCCGCCCTTCCCACCATTTTTGATGTGGCCTCTTTTCTACCTTTAGCTGTGGGGAGTCTGTTCTGCCAATCTTTGGGTCATTTTCTGGGTTATTTACACTGACTGTGGGTGTCATCTAGGTATATCCGTGGGACAAGGTGAGCCTAAGATCCCTATCACCACTTGAAATTTCCACACTCAAGGGAATGAAGCAAACCAAGACCATGCTAATTCTAATGAGAATTCCATGTGTGAAGAGTAAGGAGATTCTCTCACTACTTTTAGCCTCACAAACTACCAGAAAGAGCAGAGGGATCATTAGTGCTCTCCTGATAGACATTCCCCTTTGCGATGCTACACTGTCACTCTTCCCATCAAGAAGCAGAGTCTCCTCCTCCAGCTCCATGACTCCACCCCACTGGGAGTTGCTGACTAGTCGAATGTGGTGGAAGCAATGATGAGCAAGGTCTGGGGCCAGGTATGAAACTTTGTAGTTCCTACACTTTGTTCTCCTGAAGGGCTGCCTTTCATAGCACAATGGCATAAGGTTCTCCCTGTCCAACAGAAGTGCCATTTAGTGTGGACTTTGTCTTCCCATGGCTGTGTCTTCAGTGCTTAAAAAAGTGCCACTCACATAGCAGATGCTCAATAATCTCTTTAGGGAAATGTGATATGAAAGCAGGAAGGTCCCTGTGTAGCAAATGAAACTTCCCAAATGTTCATGGATGCCAGAACATTCCTTAATAAAGGTTGTACTAGGATGAATACTGTCCCCCCCCCCCCCCCGCAAAATTCATGTTCACCTGGAACCTCAGAATGGGACCTTACTTGGAAATAGGTATTTTACAGATGCAATTAGTTGAGGTCATATATTAGGGTGGGCTCTAATCCAAAGATTGGTGTCCTAATTAGAAGAGAAAACAGAGACTCTGAGACAGAGAGAAGGCCATGTGATGACAGAGGTAGAGGTTGGAGTGATGCATCTACCAACTACAAGATGCCAAAGACTGTCAGCACCATCCAAAAGCCGGCAAGAGGCAAGAAGGGTCTACCCGGTAGCCCTAGGAAATGAATACAAGAACCAAGGCTTCAGTCAATAACTTTGAGCAAATTGATACAGAGTATTAATGTATAAGAGAAGATTAGCATTATGTAAGAGGATAGTTTTACATAGCAAAATAAGGAAAGGGCCTTAGAGCACTAATAAGAGAGAGGATGAGATTTGAAAATAGACGATCTGGGCTTGATCTCCTTTGGGCAAGACCATTAACCTTCTGAGCCTCTGTTCTCTAGGCTGCAAAATGGGGATACTACCACCTCCTCTGCAGGGATGTCAGTTAAATCAATCAAATCAGGTATGGGTTCAGCATTTGGAAAATAAGATCAAGTCTAGTGCAGGATTTGGACAAGGTATGGTACGAGGAGGGCAGTTAATATGTAGGCGTTTTTGTTTTTTTTTTATGAAAGAAGAAAAAGAAACCCAAAAGAGAGGGCCAGGAATCCCAAAGATAATTTTCACCAGCCCTATAATTTTGTTGCAGGCAGTTCTAAGTCATGGAAGTCAATTAATATTTTGAATATGAAAAGTCCTGACCTGCATTTCCTGACTTTTAAAAAAAATTTTTATTTAAGTTCAATTTAGTTAACATAGTTTCAGAGGTAGAGTTTAGTGATTCGTCAGTTGCATGTAACACCCAGTGCTCATCACATCATGTGCCCTCCTTAATGCCCATCATCCGGTTACCCCATCCCCCCCCAACCACCTCCCCTCCAGCAACCCTCGGTTTGTTTCCCATTTCCTAACTTCTTAGCAGATAGTATTCATCACCTTAAGAGGAGCATTCATACCATTCAAATAACAACAACAACAACAAACTATCCAAAAGGAAATGGAAGGACTAGGAAGGAGAAAAGACCCATCAGTTTTGCCTGTTCAAATCTCTTTAGACTCTTTTGAAGGCAATAAATCACTAAATGAGCAGAGAAACCAAGGGATCTCCCCCAGTTTTTTTTTCCCCTAGCTCTTTTCAGTTGTAGACAATTCTCTGGCCCCCTGAATCTCCAGGGAGGTAGCATGTCAGTTAATATCGCATTCAGGACCACAAAGCCATGAGAAATGGAAACGATACCAAGGTGTCATTTTACGTCCAGTTGCAGAGACAAAATTAACTCAATGGGGCTTTGAAATGTGGTATTTGAGGTTTCTTTCTCTTTCCATTTCCTTTTCCTCCATGACAGTTTAGGTGACAAATGGTGCACTTGCTGCAACGAGGTATGGCCAGTGCCCCTCGGGAGGGTTTGGGGCACAGGTCAAGAGACTAAGCACATTCTCAAATGTAAGTCATATCCAGTCTCCCTTGCAGGGGAAGAAATTCACCTGGCCCTCTAGTGTTCAATTTTTTCAAATTTCAATTCAAATTTCAATTTCAAATTGTTTGTTTTTTTACCTTACAATAATTTTAGGGGCCCCTGGGTGGCTCAGTCAGTTAAGCATCTGACTCTTGATTTCAGCTCAGGTCATGACCTCAGGGTGGTGAGATCTCAGTGGGGAGTCTGCTTCTCTCCTTCTCCCTCTCCCTCTGCCCCATCATGGCCAAGATGATGCAGGAGAGATTCCTGATGGCAGCCCGGCCAGTTCCAGATCTCTCCATGCTTATTAGGACCAACAGCATGTGAGAAATTGTGATCAGGTAGATGGTGACTTCTAACCTTAAAAAATGCAAATCTGGTCAGGTCACTTCCACACTTGCCTCCAAGCAGGGGGCAGCTAACAGGTTCCCTGAGTATCAGTTAGGGAACTCTCCAAGGGGAAGACAAGGGACTGATGAGGACTCACTGATGAAGAACAGTTTGGTCCTTCGTCACTGAAAGAGAACATCTGTCTTTATCAGGGGATCTGATAATTGTCTGAGCGGGGAGATCAGTCTCTTTCCTCTTTCACTCCCTTTCTCTCTCCACTTCTTTAAGAGAACACAACAAAGGACAACATTGAAAGAGGAAAAAGCAAATATGCTAACTATGAGGGCCATGATTAAGAACCTCATTTAGTTGTGGGCTTCCTAGTAGCAGGGACAAAACGGAAATGTGATTAAATCTCCTTGCTTTTGTTCTGAGTCATTCCAATTACTTGGAGTGGAAAATGTACCAGATTTTAAAGGACTCAAATTTCAGTGGAGGAGGGAGATTCTTGGAATCAGTTGGCTCATGCCGGAGTATTCGGAGGGCCACTTTCTTCTACTGACAGAATGCTAGTATTACCACTCTACACCTTAGAATCAGCCCTCCTCTGACCTCATTTATACTTTTGGGAGATCAAAGGAAGAGGAAGGGAGTCTGGGCTGAGAGCGGAGGCGGGTCTAGGAGCACCTCATGCCTATCAACGGCTTCAGAATTTGCAGGACACTTTAACGTACACCATCCCATTTAAGGAACACACTGGAACTTCTCTAGAGCCTAGTAAAAGAGGTTTATATTTTGGCAGACTAGCTGTACTTCCAATCATGTGACATCTTTTGGGGGGGCTACCACCACGTATTGAGAACACTTATGTTAGTGGTTCCCAACCTTTAGCATGCATGGGAGTCACCTGGAGGTGACTGTTAAAACACAGTTTGCTGGGCTGCACCTCCAGTTTCTGATTCAGTAGATCAGGGACAGGGCCTGAGACTGCATTTCTAGCAAGTTCCCAGGCATGTTAGTTTGCTCGGGCTGCCACAACAAAATACCCGAGACTGGGTGGCTTAATTAAGAAATTAATTAAGAAAATTTCTCACAGTTTTGGGAGGCAGGGGTGATTTCCTCTGAGGTCTCCCTTTTTGGCTTGCAGACATCTGCCTTCTCGCTGCCTCCTCACGTGGATGCCCTCTGTGCGCGTTTGCCTCTGGTGTCCCTTCCTCGTCTTGTGAGGACACCAGTTCTATTGGATTAGAACCCACCCTAATGGCCTCATTTTAATATAATCACCTCTTTAAAGGCCCTCGCTTCAAACATGGTTACATTCTGATTTCAACATGTGAATTTGGGGTGGGGGACACCAGCCCATAACACAGGTGCTGCTGATGCTGCTGGTCCAGGGACCACACTTTGAGAACCATAGGGTTCTATTATGAGGAACTCACCAACTCACAGCTACCCTCAAACTCAGGACACAGAACCCAGGTTCCTCGTCTGCTGCCAAGAGGCTCCTGGACCCACCTCCGCTCTCAGCCCGGACCGCCTTCATCTTCCTTTGATCTCCCAAAAGTATAAATTAGGTCAGAGGAGGGCTGATTCTAAGAAGTCGTGAACATGGCTAGTGGCTCTGGGCTGTGTCCTGCGTTCTCATTTAGATGTCTGTTTTTAATGTGGACGGTTAAAAAAGGCATCTATAATTAGTTTAAGTACCAAATTGAGGGACTGTTTGAAAAAGTCTTTAAAACTTCACGATGTTTCATCTTAAAAGAAAGAAAAACTGGTTTCTTTTAAATTAAAACATCTTCCGTGGTGTTTACAATTTCTTTCAGACACAAGAACCCAACGGGAAGGAGCAGCTGTTCCGTTTTGCTGCCCTGGTGGGGAAGACGCAGAGAAACGGAAACCCGGAGGAAAAGGTAAATTCGCAGGCCTCAAGTGAGGGGTTCTGGTGCAATCCGCCATTAACAACTGTTAGCTTGGGCCTGGGCTCAGTTTCTCCACTTGAAAATCCTAATACAAGACCCCTCCCGACAACTCGGCTGCACCTGCCATCATCCTGCCGAGTTGAGAACCGGAGGAGAGAGAAACCCAATGATCTGATTCCCTGTGATTCTACCACATTTCTTTCTGGCAGAGAAATTCCTGAACGTTGCTCACAAAAAGGGCTCGTCTGCAGGGATCACTGAAGGATCCACATCCACAGCGAACGAGGGGTGCACACAGATCCTAGCGACCATTTGTGGAGCATTTACTATGTGCCACGCACCATTAATCCTCACGCTCTAGCAGATAGGTATCCTCCTAGTCCCAACTTATGGATGGAGGAAACTGAGGCACAGGGGGAAGAAGTCACTTGCTCAAGATCAGGGAGCTAGGAACTGGGGCTGTGCTCTGAGACTTTGCACTGTGTGGCCTCCCAGGGTCCACACATCCCCCATTGGAGTTACCATCTCGAGGGTAGAGATGCTGGAGCTAAGGGTCTCTCCCCTGACAGCTCACTGGGATCACAGCAGGGGTTCTAAACACCTCTGAGTCCTGCCCCCCGCACCCCAAGATCTGATGTAATTGCTCTGAGTGCGGCCAGCTCCCAGGGCATTCTAAAGCTGCCCGGGGCTGGGGGGTGTGGGGGGGGCATTGCCCTGTAGGCTCCAATGCCACCAGCTATAAATTAATGCACGTATGGGACCCAAGCAATGCCTCAGCGTGATCCTGGGCAAAATACATTTTCCTAGTCCTCGGATTTAAGGTTAAGGGGCTTACTGTTCATTCAGCAGGGCCAGAGGTCAAAGGTCTAGAAGGCCACAGTTCTCAAACATGTTTGGATGCATCCTTAGAATGCCACTTAGCATTCCACTAGGAATTATACAATGCTTAAACGCTTTTATGTTTAGAAAAGAAAGGAGAGAAATACTGAACCTCTAAAGAAACAATCTGGTCTGAATCTGTCACAAAACCTAAAGGGTTTAACGGTGCCAGGAAATCGGTTGCTTAGGATTTGTCCTTGTCACTGAGGAAGCACAGGATTTTTGATTACAAAGACTCAAGGTCTGTAGGAGATTTTCCTACCTTTCCGATGCAGAAGGAAGAGGTGCACAGATGGGAAGCCTTTTGAGCTCTGGCAGATAAGGTAGAAGTGCAGGAGACCCTGGGTGCCCGAGGGCCCAGTACTCACCTCCAGAAGCAGAAGCCCAGCCAGGCTCAGTTGACAAGGCCACAGGGAGCTAAGGGCTCTGAGGGGATTTTAACCTCCAGGGCTTGGTGGGCAGAAACAAGCAAGCAGAGGTTTCAGGCTAATGGTTAAATTACTTGTTTTGTAGGCAGGGTTTAAATTTGTGACCCGGATTAGGGTCACAAACTCAAAATGCCCCCCAGAGCCAGCCAGAAGTCCCTGGGCCGCTGAAAGTAAGTGATGCCTCTTAAATCTGGCTCCTGTTGCCAGGAGGGAATGGGAACCTGGTCTTTCAAGATGTTTCCATTTCTCAAGAAGAGCCAGAAAACCAGATTTTATATGAAATCTTGGCATTCTTAAATGTTAGCTACAATGAAAAAAATTCTCTTAATACGTGGGCCAAACCATGCTTGTTTGGGCTGGGTTTGTTACGGGCCACCAGCTGGCGCCCTCAGCCAGGCATCTGGGGACGCTAGGGCTCGTAAGGAGGTGAGGTGCCCTTCTTGGGGCAGGCTGTTCGAGGCAGCACCCCCCTTGCCCCAGCGGCTCCAGCTCAGTTAACGGAACCTGGAAGCAGGTGAGGTGGGGGAGAAAGCCCAGGTGGAGGCGTCCCAGAGAGCAATTAGGAAAGTTCCCAATCAGCAAGAGTTGTTAAGAGAAACCACTGGAACCCTCAGCTCTCCCGTCCCCTTTCCCGGTTAGTGCTCACCCACATCCTTCGGATGCTCTTATCCCAGGGTCCTTATTCGGTGTGGCTCTCCCTTCCAGAAGGCAAGCTCTGGGAGGCCGGGTAGCTTTCCCTTTTTTTGTTTACTCCTGTATCCCCAAGCGCCTGGCCCGTACCGGACACTCAAAGCTGTGTCGAATGAATGACGGGGGATGGCAGGGACTTTAAAGGCCACAGAATGGCTGATGCAGCTGCAGGGGCTTCCTGGTGCCTAAACCTGCAGCCCCACCTCATCTTCCCACAGAGATTTCTGGCACAGACCCTGCAGCTACAGCACTGGGACTCTGGGCGCTGGCTGGAAGCACTGCGGAGAGCTGCGACAGCCTTTGCGAGCGGCTCTTTCCACCCATCTGGGGAGGCCAGGAAGCAGGACGAGGGAAATCGTGCCAGAGGCTGCTGGAGCCAAGGGCTGCCCTGGGAAGGCCTGGCCTGGGGCGCGTGCTGCTAGGGCCCCCTTTCAGCCAGGCCAGGTGCGGCTGCAGGGGCTGCATTTCCGGTTTAGATCAGCTGTTTGGGCTTCCGGAGGCCCGGGCAGGGTGCGGAGGGGCGCAGGAATAGGGATGGGGCTGCTGCCAAGCTGGACCGGCTTCCCATGAATGGTAGCCAGGAACAGGGACAATGGTGAAGGGACGTGGCCCCCACCCGGCTTGGGAGGCTGGGTTTCCTGGGAAATCAGAAGTCAGCGGGCACGTGTAATGTGCACCTGCCAACGGACGCTTTGGGGCCCTCGGAAGTCACTGCTGGCCGGGGGGAGCAGGGAGGAAGCTTCCAAGGCACAGCTTCGAATGGCTCGAACGGTCTCCCAGCCAAGGTGCTGACAGCAGTCCTCCCAGAGGGGCCTCCCAGGGGGCGACGTTCTTCCAGGGCAGGGGCCTGGGAAGCCCCAGCTTCTCTTTCTGGTCTCTCCCTCCTTGGACCAACTGGCTTCACTGGTTCCCTTCCTAGACTCACCAGAATGTTCAACTACTCCTGTTTTGCCCAAATCACTCGATTCCTTCAGGTCTTGGTTTTCCCATCTATAAAACGGGGACAATCGTGGCTACGTCTCAGAGTGGTTCTAAGGATTCAGTGAGTGCCCACACAGAAAGCACCTGGCATGGGGCCACGCACAGAGCAGGCCCTCGGTCAACAGCCCTGTGCTTTATCATTATAACATATCCTATCACAGAGGGTTGCTTCCTAAGTGGCCAGCAGGACGGCGAGCCTATCACTCTTAACAGCAGCTCTTAATCCTTAGTGTACGTAAGGGCCATGGTGGGGGGGGTCCATGGTGGTCCTGAGAGATTCTGACTCAGAGGGTAGGGCTGTCCTGGTGTGCCCGCCCTTGACCGTCGTCCTGTGGGAATTCGATAAGCCACATCCAAGGACGGCGGTCCTGCGTTCCGTTTTGAGCACTGCCGACTGAGCGTTGCTTTTATGCGAGTGGGTTCCACACATTAGTCATCTGAGCAAAAGAGCGGGCTCACGGCCGTTCAGTGTCGCGGACACAGGACCCGGACAGCCGCCCATGGAGGCACCTTGGGTTGGCAGCTGGTAAGCAAACTGCAGGTCTGAAGAGGAATTGCCTCGCTAGACAGAGATCCCCTGTCAGTATGTACTAACAGACTACAGTATGCTTGGGATTGCAGAGGAAGTGAACTCTGGATTGACAGACACCCAACAAGGCTGATGTATTTCCCAATCAAGTAGCACGGTTCAACAATATCCCAGTTCCTCGTTGTGGAAAAGGTATGCACGAGCCACTCGGTGGGGCCTTCATGTCTGCATGTTGTCTGTCTCCCAGAGACGGGAAGGCTGGCCTTCCCCAAAGTGGGGAGGTTGAGCCAGCGCTGCAGAGGGGCCCCCAGAGCCCTCCTCCCCTCCACAGTCACCAACAGACCTGGGGCCCCCGAGGAGCTGCTTCCATCACCCTCACCTGGTCCCCTTAGCTTCAAGCTGCTCCATCCTAATCACAGTCACAGTGCCCCGAACGACGTGAGTTCAACTTTGCCCCCTCCCAGGGCGCTGGCACAGCCCCTGGCTAACTGGGTATCCCAAGTGCCACTCAGTGCCCAACACGTGCAGGACTTAGAGACGGTGAGTTTTGTGCTAACACCTTAAAGCCTTTCCAGTACTAAGATTTTCTGTCACTTCACTGCCTCTCCCTCTTTTAAGGATGGCCCATTTGGGATCATGGAAGCATAACAGGGAGGCCGTTACAGCGCCACGGGACAGACGTGTCTACGTTCACCAGCTGTGTGCCGAGAAGCCTACGCACCTGGGCTGCTTTTTAGGTCGTGTCTGGGAACACACACACAACAGAGCCACACAGGACAGCATGGATCTTGACCCGGGCCCGCAGGTGAATAAGACATCCTCAAGTTAATGACCTCACAGGTACGAACACCCTTCTGTTTGGAGAGCTTTGGAGTGACTTCACACCCCCAGAGTCCCGGGGACACAGAGCTTCAGAGCTGGAAAATACCTTGGTGAACAACTGATACCACGTTCTGATTTTCAGACAGCAACACTGAGGCCCAGAGATGGGAACTCATCAACCCCCTCCCAGGGGGTGGTGGAGCTAAGACGCCAGAGAAAAGAGGCTTCTTCTCATTCCATCCACCCACAGCCCTTGCTGGTGGCACAGGGACGGATTCGGAGACGCAGAGAGGGGTGGGCCAGCCCAAGGGCCATCTCCGAGGTGCCAAAACATCTCCATGAGGCGTGAAAAGTATCCCTGCTACCTTCCACCAACCTAAGAGGAGGATATTATTCCACGTGGGGTCATGATCAGTGGCAATCCAGAAACCAAATAGGAGCCAGTGACCTCTTATTACCCAAGATAGGAAACAGGGCAAAGTCTTCCCCCCTGGGCTGGCTTGATTTGGGAAAGCGTTAAAGAAAAGCAAAAGCAACAGGTGGGCGAAGTCTTGACCATCAAAACACAAAAAGCAATGACTCTGCGCCAGTGGAAGGAAATGAATGGATCAATTTCAGGACAGGATTTTTATAGAAAAATCAGTGCCTCCCTGATCCCATTACATGAGCACCGAACAAATATCGAGAGCATTTGGTTTCTCACCCTGCACAGAAAGTCTGGGATTCTGCGAAGCTGACCTGACACAGGGGTTGAGTCAGGCAGACACATCTGGACACAAATCCTGGCAATGCCCCTGTCTAGCCACATGACCTGGGGGCAGGCCTTTCTACCCCTCCCAGCCTTGGTTTCCTTATCTGTAAAGTGGGGATTGATAGACGCACCTACCCAACAGTCTGTTGTGAACTTTAAAGGGATAAAGTTTGCAAAGAACTATCAGCAGCCCCTCAGCTGCTCTAAATGTGCATGCAGTTAATATTCAAAGTTAAAAGGTCTTCTCCATGAAAAAACCCCCACAGAGATCTTCTTGACGTTGTAGCTGTTTCTGTGGAGTGGCAGCGTGGTTCAGAACACAGATTCTACCTCCAGACAGCCTATAGTGAAAATCTGGCCCCACCACCCACTGGCTGTGGAACTTGGGCAAGTTACTTAACATGGGCCTCAGTATTCTCATCTGTAAAATGGGGCTTATGACAGCACTGACCTTCTAAGATTGTAAGTGATGGTGGTAATAGCTTCCTGAACGCAGAACGTCCTGGAGGTACACAGGTGACTGTCCCTGAGGCCTCACTTGTCTTATAACCTCGTATATGAAACGAGGAGGAAGTAGCCCATATTCCCCTTCCCTGACTAGAGCTCTGCCTGGACGTGCCAACAAGGAGGGAGAATGGCTGATGTCCCTTGTCATTCCCTTTCCCTGTCTCCCACAGGTGAAGGCCCAATAGTGGTGAGGTCAGGGCAGAGGAGGACAGAAGGCTCAGGCCTGCATGTGCCCACACTGCTGGCCCAGACTCCTGAGCGGTGTGGGAAAGGGCCCTGATGCCCTGACCGCCGGCAGGCACGTGGTGGCTTCCCTAGCCTGCAGCGGACCCAGCCGACACCCTGCAGGTCCCGCCTGGCCCATCACTGGGCTCTGGATTGGTCAGCTCACCCCCTGCCACTGCCCAGCAGGTCGCTGACCTCCTGGCCCTACTGTCCATCCCCTGGAGGGACACCTCAACCTGGCAGCCACCCCATACTTGCCTCAGCCCATCAGCTGGCCCCGGGTAAACCATCAGGCCCTGGGCTGCAGCTCTGGAGGGGGCCCGCTGGGAAGCAAGATAAGGTTTGTCTTCAGGGATGCATCTCACATTCTAACAGGGCACACAGACGAGGAAAGGAAAAAATCCTAATGCCGCGTGGCAGCTGACAAGAGCTACCCCAGGGATGAGGAGTATGCTGGTGTCAGACGCCCGGATCTAGCACCTACTACCTGGAGGCCTGAGGTTTCCCAAGCCTCTGTTTCCCCAGCTGTGAAATGGGCTCAACAGCAGCCCCTGCCTCAAAGGTTGGAGAAAAAGACCAGACGCGGAGTTACGTCTGCCTCGGCCCATAAATGCTCAGGAACGTCTCACAAGGCGGGTGTGGGGATGAAGGGGCATAGACAGCGCAAGCAGTGCCCTTTCCTTGGCAGAGAATGGTGTCCCTGAGGAAGGAATGTTCCCGAGAGGCTGGAGAGAGAAGAAGCTGAGAGCTGGGCCAAAGGAAGGCCTTGTAGGCGGGGGGCGGGGTGGGGACCGAGGCCGGGCCCCTCCGCTCTGGGTCCCGGAAGCCGGAGGCTCCGTCCCGCTCCACTGCTGTCCCTGCATGGGCTGGGGGCCTGCAAGGATGGGGACGGGTCAACTCACTGAAGCTGGACGAGCCTGTGGGGCCCGCGGGAGGCTGCGGCGCACCCCCCCCCCCCCCAGGCCTTCCAGAAAGGAAGCTCCACAGACATGACGGCCCTGCCGGAGCGAGGGGACCACTGGGAATCTTTTTATACACTAAGTGTTATTCTCTGAGCCAAGGCAACGAACAGATGCAGAAGAACAAGTGGGGTCAGGGTCTGAGGGGGGCTGACTTCCATGAATGAGTCTACTTCCTGTGGCGGGGAACCCTTCAACTCCAGGAACAAAGTAACCTGGTGACAGCTGGGACACCCAGGCCGACCACAGGGCCTTCACTGGAGAGAACCCAAGCACTCCCCTCCCGCAGGGCCCCTTTCACTTCCCCTGCTCAGCGCATCTTCCTGGCCTGGCCCTGGGGGCACAAGCACATGGCCAGGAGACCACCCTCCTCTATTTCTGTTTTCTTTAGAAAGACATAAAAACTATAGTCGCTCAAGAGAGGCAGGAATACCTCCGCCCTTGCGTTTTTCTGGACTGGCCTGAGGAAAGTGCTGGGCAAAGGGTCAGTGTGGGGTCTGGAGTGACCCGGAATGACCCAGAAAACTATTAATTCACCTGCAGGCTCAGGTGGAAGGAGGAAGCAAAGCAGATGTTGCGTTTATGGAGGGCAACACAGAGGGAGTGCTGGTCACGTGGCAGCCGAGGTGCTGGGCCCAGTGAGGGGGTCAGACATGGCGGCAGGAGAGGGGCAGACCGGGAAGGCCCAGGCCGGGAGAAGAGGGCCCCCTGTGGTGGTGGACTCCTGCTTCTTCCCTGGGGACACGGGGACCTCTCCATCTTTCAATGAGGTCACAGATACTCAACCACCCCAGGTCTGGGAATTGCTCAAAGTATAGCCTGTGTGGGCTTCCTCTGAGCGCCCTCCACCGGAAGCCGGGTGCTCCGTGACTGGAGCGTGGCTGCTGCCTGGGGGCCACACGGGGAGCGCCGGTGGGAGCTCAGCAATGGGACGGGGGTGCCTCTGAGTGCCAGGCATCCTGCTGAGCAGCTGGTAGCCACCATCTGTTAAACCCCACGATAACCTGAGAAGCGTCACCCACTTTACAGATGAGTAAACTGAGGTTCAGACTTCTCAAACACCTCTCAACCTTGTAAGTGGCGGGGCACAGAGTTGACCCTGGCAGTCCAAGTCTGGAGCATGGGTCTGCAGCCCAAGCCAGTGACCCCCAGGCAGACTGCCTCTGTGACCTCAGCCACTCCCACTGGGAACGGCCAGGAGCACCCAGGCCGACCCACAGCCCAGATCTACCTCGAAGGGGCAGGCACGGCTTCCGGGTGCAGGAAAGATGCTCGGGCGATTAGTATTGAACTAAATAAACCCTCAGGAAGGAAGCTCTGATTGAACGGTCTTCCCCAGGCTGCAAAGAAAGTAGATCTTAAAAGTTCTCACCACCAGGGGAAGAAAATGTCTAACTGTGTGCTGAGGGGTGTTAAGTCGACTTAGGATGGTGATCACTTCTCAATCTATGCAAGTGTCGAATCAGGCTGTCTATCCGAAACGAATGTTCTATGTCCATTATAGCTCAACTAAAACAATAAATTCCCTTCCCGAAGTTCCGATGGAGGTTTAATTGGTTAGTCAGCATAGCCCATAAAGATCATCTATAGTGCTGTTAGGGGAAATGACATTTTCTTCTCAACGATACCACTCGTTTCAATTCTCAGAGCCACAGGGCACGGTTTTACCTTCTTGTCCCTGAAGCCATGTTCTGTTTCCATCAAGGTCTGCGAGGATACCTCACAGCGGAGGGATGCATTTCTCCTTGGCTTTCATGAATTGGATTTTCCGGGTGGTTTACACTGCCTTCTAGCACATCTACAGGTCTGTTTGGGGGCCTTGAAGGGGCCCAAAGGACCCGTGTCTTCCACGGGTACCTGGGAGGAGCTCAGAACTGAACCAGCATCTCAAAGGGCTGCTCGCTGAAGCCCCCACTCAACCAGCTGAGGGCAAAGCGAAGCCTTCGCTGGGCGCATGGCCGTCCACACGGGCTTCCCAAGACGCCCTCGCCACGGGGCCTGGCCCCCTGCCCACCCTGCTGCTCTAGGCTCTGCCACAGCTCAGTCAGCCTGAGTGCTCCTCAGTCAGGCCAGAATCCAGAAGGGCGGGGCATTTTCTCAGAGTTTTATAGAAACTTCTAACCAGAAACATCTGGAAATACATGGGACAGAGTTGGATGCCTCAGGGCTGAGCTCCAGCTCGGCCAGGCTGGGCATTCGCCCTAGAAGCTTGAGTCACTGGCCTCTTTCCCAGCAGCCTCCTCTGTAAAACGGCCCTCCCTCCTCCTCTCCCTTCCACTGAACACGGCACACTCATTTCATTCTCAAGGTGGTTGAATTTCCTGTCCCTTCCTTGGTCATCAGCCTGTAAGGTCCCAGAGGAATCTCAAACTTAAAATATCTGAAAATGAGCTGTCAGCCATCTCTTTCCATGTCCTCACTTCTGGGAATGGCACTGCTGTGTGCCCAGGTCACCTCTCCCCACAAGCCACATAGGCTCTAGTCTGGCCTGCTCCTGGAGTTTCCAGGC